CCAACTTCCTTGGCGTTGGCTTTATTTCTTATTCTTAATTTAAAATTCAGGACTTTATGACCAAATCTATAGACTTATAACAAATACCATATATAACTTTGACATAATAATTGCTACCATTTATTGAGTAATTTCTAAGCACTGTGATGAGCTCTCTATGAAACTTATCTCATTAAATCCTCATATAACCCTGTTAAGTAGGTATTATATAATTTTTTCTTTTATAAGTGAGGGAACTGAGGTCTTAAAGAATATTTAGAATTATGAAACCTCACGAGTGTTTTATCAGTCTCCAGCTTCCCTCAGAGAGGGAGCTACCCAGGAGAGGTAATGTTTATGTTATGTATGTTCACTCATTCATTTTTTTCAATAAGTACTTCTTTTTTTTTTTTTTTTTTTGGTATAGGGTCTCACACTGTCACCAGGGCTAGAGTGCGGTGGCATCATCATTGCTCACTGCACCTTCAAACTCTTGGGCTCAAGCAATCCTCCTGCCTCAGCCTCCCAAGTATCTGGGACTATAGGTGTGAATCACTTCACCTGGCTAGGTTTTATATGTTTTGTAGAGATGGGGTCTGGCTCTTGCTCAGGCTGGTACATTTCTTCTTAAATGCTGATATGTAGCAGGCATTTTTTCATTTTCCAGGGATCATAGCAGTGAACAAAACAGACCAAAATTCCTGTCCTCATAGATTTCATTTTCTAATGGAGATGAATAGATGATTTTTGAAAAGAGAATAGGCCCGGGCGCCGGTCGGCTCACGCCTGTAATCCAGCACTTTGGATGCTGAGGCGGGCGGGATTGCTCAAGGTCCAGGAGTTCGACTCACCAGCCGAGCGAGATCCCGTCTCTACACAAAAATAGGAAATAGAAACATGTTTTTTGTCTTTTTTTTTTTTTTTTTTTTTAATTGACAACCTAAAAATAGTACATACAAAAAAATTGCGCGGGCATGGGTTGGCGCATGCCTGTAGGTCCAGCCTACTCGGAGGCCTGAGCCAGTAGGATCGCTGAGCCCCGGAGATTGAGGTCCTGTGACTCGCCCTGGACGCCACGGCAATCCACTCTAGCCTGGGCAACAAAAGTGAGACTCTGCGTCTCAAAAAAAAAAAAAAAAAAAAAAAACCTGAGGAATAGCCCGGGCATGGTTGGCTCACGCCTGTAATCCTAGCACTCCTGGGAGGCATAAGCGCCCGGGGCGGATTCGCTCGAGTCAGGATTTCGAAAACCGAGCCTGAGCCAAGACAAACCTCCGTCTCTACACGATAAATACGAAACGAAATTAATTGGCCCAACCTAATATACTATGAGAGAAAAATTAGCCGGCATGGTGGACATGCCTGTAGTCCCAGCGCTACTCGGGAGGTTGAGCAAAAGATTCCGCCTGGCCCAAGGAGTTTGAGGGTTTGCTGTGAGCTAGGCCTGAATGCCAACGGCATTCACGTCTGCCCTGGGCAAGCAAATGACGCTGTCTCAAAAAAAAAAAAAAGTTAAGAAAAAAATGAGAATATATAGGTAAAATATTAAAAGCCGTGAGAAATGGCTATGGAAAAGATAAACAAAACAACTAAAATAATAAAGTGGAATAAAATAAGATACATAAAACCCAAAAGCACCCGGCTGGGCAGCAGTGGCTCACACTACCTATAATCCCTATGCCACTGCTGGGAGGCCTGAGGTGGGAGGGATCGGTTTAAGCTCAGGAGTTCAAGACCAGCCTCGAGCACAGAGTGAGCACCTCATTTGTACTAAATAATAGCAAAGAAACTTATCTGGACACATCTTAAAAAAATATATATAGTATAGACGTTAGCCGGGCATTGGTGGGTGCATGCCTGTAGTTCCCAGCTACTTGGGAGGCTGAGGCAGTAGGGGATTGCTTGACCCAGGAGATTGTGACGTTGCTGTAGCTAGCGCTGATGCCCACGTACTCTAGCGCCTGGCGGCAACAGAGCAAGACTCTGGTCTCAAAGAAAAAAAAAAAAATCAAACAGGCTGGTGAGAAGCGAGAAATGCATGGTTCTTAATCCTTCTGCACCTTGGTCCTCTGAGTAGATAATGTGGGGAACACCGAAGACTCCTTTCTCAGAATGTTTTTAAAATGCAAGGAAGTAAAATATATAAGAATCACAAGAGAAACACAGAATTATATTAAAATACAGTATCAAAATTAATGAATAAACAAACACTTAAGATGGAAGTAAATGTATAGTTTTAAATACGTGCTTTATATAAGACAATATATTTTAAGACATGGCAAGTCCAAAGTTGTTAATTTTGCTCTTAAAACGTCGATACCAGTGGAGGGTGTACTGTTGCTTAGCTTTAATAAGATATTTATAACTGTGAATGATCCCCCTTTTTTTCCTCTGGTGGACAGATAAGTGTGCTGAGTTGTAACAAGGTTACAACACGTGCGTGTAGCTCATCAGGCTTATGAACTGAAAAGGATCTGCCCGGGTGCCTCTTTGACCTCCTGCTTCCACTTACCTGATTAATAAACCACGGTGGATGGGGGATCCTGGGAGGCAATTAACGTGGCTGGGTCGCCAGGGAGACAGTCACTGTGCAGGGCTGATCACGTCCTGGGCACAGAGCTGCCTGACGTTGGCAGCGTTGCAGGAGCATCAGATGGAGGACGACTTTGATCGCATGTATCCGCAGCAGTGAATGTAATAATTACCTGCCTTTTGAGATGTCTGCAACAGACTGCCATGTGGAATCCGTGACCTCCACTGGTGACAAAGACACCAGCACTGCTAACGTGACTGACGGTTTTGCTAACTATAGTCATAACGGAAGAAAACAATACATTTCAGCCCAAGGATTTGTGAAAATAAAAGATGCAGTTACTTTCCTATATGAGTTCCTGGACCCCTTGAATTCTGTCTGTGGCCCCCAGGTCAAGGATGTAAGTCGTTCATCGCCACCCCACCTAGACATGGGGTAAGGGTTACCCAACTTCAGTAGTTGGAAAAGTTCCCCTATGGATAAGAAAGGAGAAGGATAAAAAGGCTCCTGGAATCTCATGATTGCTGGTTCATTGAATTGAAAACAAGTAAGTCTGGTGCCAAGGGGGAGTTAGTCCCCTGTTTGGTTGACCCTAAAACATTTGGAATTATGGTTTGCTGGGTCTGGGATCCCAACAGATCTTGAACCATGGCTGAGAAAGCACCAGGTCAGATTCTTTTTTTTTTTTTTTTTTTTTGAGACAGAGTCTCACTTTGTTGCCCAGGCTAGAGTGAGTGCCGTGGTGTCAGCCTAGCTCACAGCAACCTCAAACTCCTGGCTTAAGCAATCCTCCTGCCTCAGCTCCTCCGAGTGCTGGGACTACAGGCCAGTGCCACCATGCCCGGCTAATTTTTTTTTGTATATATCACTAGTATAGGTAATTAGTTTCTTCACACTTGGTCCAACCTTAATTTCTTTCTAGAGAGAGGACGGGCGTCTCCGCTCTGTCGCTCAGGCTAGTTTTTCGAACTCCTGACCTCCAGCAATCCACCCACCTCGGCCTCCCAGAGTGCTAGGATTACAGGCGTGAGGCACCATGCCCGGCCAGGTCAGATTCTTGATGGCATGCTGGGCTGCATCAGTGGGGAATGGCCCCTTCTGCCACCTTCTGCTGCCATGGACAGCTGAGGCTGGTGTCGGGGAATAAGAGCCCAGGGTCAGAAGAAGGAGGGTGGAGGCTCAGGCCACCTGTCCATGGGAGGAAGGGTTTGTCTCTGCCCCATTGCCCCACAAGTGGACCAATGTTTTTCTTTAAAAATTGTGGCAAAATATACAAAACATACAATTTGCCATTTTAACCCTCTTTGAGTGTATAATTCACGGATATTAAGTACAGCCACATTGTTGTGCAGTCGTCACCGCCACCCATCAGCTGACCATTTCCATCACCCTGTACACATCACATAACTCCCCTCCCTACTTTCTTTCTCTAGGAATTTGACCACTCCAGAGACCTCATGGAAGTGGAATCACACAGTGTTTGTCCTTTGATGTCTGGCTTATTTCACTTAGCATAATGTGATCAAGATTCCTCCATGTTGTATAGTATATCAGGACTTCATACCTTTTTTAAGAAAAACAACAAAAAGTTTACTTACACGACAAGATGCTTAACTTAAAGGGAAAAACTAGGTTTCGTGTTTTTCAAGTAAATTTATCCCTACTTGAAGAGAGATTGCCCTTCATATAACAGCTCCATACAAAAAAATTTATGAAATTGTCCTTGGTTTTACAATGACAAATGAAAAACATTAAAATTCCCTAATCAAACAAAGTATGCAAGGATTTTTATGTTGTGTGTGTGTCGCGCTCTGTGTGTGTGTGTGTTTTGGTAAAATAGTGGGAGCAAAATAACTTACTGGAATGTAAAGACCAGAGCTGAATGAGCACGCCGCTAGCGGAAGAAGAGGGTATTTTTGTGGGGACCAGTAGTTTTCCCATCCTGTCTCCATTTGATGTCCATCAGAACATACCATTGGCCATTTAGTAAAAAAAAAAAAAAAAAAGGAAAGCAATATTCTTGCATGTACGCCAGTTACTTTAGGTACAACAGTAAAGGAATGGGGAAAGGAAAAATGAACCGCGTGGGAAAACTATACCGTCGGTAGGATGCGAGGAACCGAATGTGGCTTCGTAGCGGAGGAAGACGGCCTGGAGGAACAGGGTTCTGGAGCACAGCCGAAGGCTCCCTTGTGGGTAGAACGCCGCCTGTCTGCTGCCGGCACCGCATTAACTGCATCCGCAGCCTCTATTTGCCGGCCTGCGCAGCTGTGTCTGTTTCATTGATTGGACT